TCAGTCACATTTACTTTGATTATGGGTCGCTCATTGTAAAGATGCTGATACTTACCTCAATATTGCAGTTTGTAACAGATATACATTGTACTTATTGCCAAGAGAAGGTCAATGAATGGAATTGGCATTTTTTAAGTTGCTATCAATAGAAAGACAATGTTGAGCATGGATGACACTGATATTAATTTTGAAAAGTCGCTTAGAGATTCAAGAGATGATTTTGAAGGAACAATGTTATTGAGGTTAGGAGCTAGTCCTTACACTGAAGATGCTCTGTAAGCATTCATTTTAGTCTTGGGTTTTATACATTATATTTGTATTTGCTTATTGTATTGCATTGGAGCCTTTATTGAAAATTGTTATAACCATTAGGATACAGAGGAAGAAGGCAACTTGCCATCAATAGTGAAGAAATGGCTATTTACGTGGGTCAATGATTATCTGAAATAGCAGATAAATTCTTTAAATTAACGTCTAATAATTTCCAAGCTCTTTTTGTTATTCTTAATTGTGCATTTTTATAGATTATATTACTATTAGAGAAAACTCACGCATCCATGTACAGTCAAACCTGTCTATTCTGGACACCTTGGGACCAAATAAAACTGTCCTTATTATAGAAGTGTCCTTATTTCAGAGGTTCATTAATACACATTACTATTGTATTGGGACTGATACTACCTGTCCTGATTATAGAGGTGTCCTTATTTTAGAGTGTCCACAATAGCAGGTTTCACTGTATTGGCAGCATCTGGAACAGTTAGCTTCAACTAATGTCTAGCTCTAGTTTTAGGTAAACCTTTGTGTGATCTACATTTTATGTCACTAATACTGCCTTTGTAACTTGTAAGCCTAGATAAATTTAATGATGATTGTTCTTGGCTTTTCAGAGAGACTTATTCTAAGAAATCAAAGCCTCAATATAGTTCTGCTATACTATTTTTGGAGGAGTTTGTGGAATGGCTGTCACTAGACTTGTTATTAAGATTAATGGTGTTGATGGTACATTTTTCATGTGTTTTGCAGTAGGGGGCTCAGTTGGAGCATTTGCAGGGACCACAGCTTTTGACAAATTAATGGGATATCCTGGTAATAATAATAATAATAATAATAATAATAATAATAATAATAATAATAATAATATTGCTATTTGTGAGAATTTTATACTTTACGTGGCCATTCTCGCAGAGTTACTAGATATAGGATTGCTGTAGATGTTGCTCATACATTGTTGGGGATAGGGTTAATATTATTATTATTTATTACTGCTATAAGTGTGAATTTCAGTATGGCTGACTATTTTTAAATTTTCGTTATAACTATGAGACTCATACTGTGTCCGTTTTCTTTGGAGCATTAATGGAAGCAGTAAGTGCTTTGACTGTAGGTCCAGAGCCAATTATTGGACAAATATCATCATCTGGTAAGAATAAAAAATCAGTGATCACTTTACCTGTATTTGTATATTATTATTAGGTTATGATACAAGATCTAGTGTTGGATTGGGTGTTTTACGTGCTTGCAGTAGTGTAGCCAGGGTAGGGCAAAGTGGGGCACATGCCCTACCAGTCTATGCTTGTGCCCTACCAACTGTCATAGTGTTCTGACTGTTCTCTTGTCTATAAATTGCATGTGAAGTTCACTTGTCCATAGTGTGCCCTACCACCATCATAACCCTGGCTACGCCACTGCGTGCTTGCATTGGAATAGGAACTGGAGCAATGGTTGGATCAGTTGCTCTTAGTAATTTCATTCCATATAACTATTTCAAAGCTGCAACAATTGTTATGGGTGGTCTAATTGGAGCTTTTATTGGTTATAAGTACTGCTCAAACCTTTTATCTCATTATTAATAAACATTCCATCAAAAAATACCATTCTTACCATAATGGGCGTGCCGGTGGTGTGGCTTCGAGCTTCAGCTAGCTTCCATAGTCAGTGTTCAGTCCTATTCCTATGGCAAATACAGGTTGATTGCTCTTGCTAAACTCCTTTTATTTTCTTTTGTAGATACTCCAGAATACATTATACTTAAAAATCATCTCGCTGATGTTGTTGATTTATTAGCTGGGAATGCTCCAGTCATTACACAATTTTCAAACCACATCTTCTCATCAGGTCTCATTCCTAAAGAGGTACATCTCAATCCGAAGAGCAGTCCTTTAGATAGAGCCACTCAACTTATTAATTCGGTTTTTTCTACAATTGGAACTCACTCTAATCCTAGCGA